AAATCTTTTAATTGCATTACTTCCAACAAAAAATTTCAGAGAAAATTTTTAGTCTGAATGTCTCTATATGAAATAATATAAACAGCTAAGCAGAAGAACATGTTGCAATCCATGCTTGCATCTTCAATGCAGAAAGAAAATATCAATAAAAGTTCTTAAGCTGTGGTTCAACCCAACCTCTCCCAGGTTTGAGCACTTCATAACTACACCAAAAAGACAACTTTAACTTCTTATCCAGAGGAAATCAACACAATGCCCAAGATAAATGTCTTCTAGCTGCAACTTTATTTATTTTTTCTGTTCTTCAGATTGTTGTTAGTGAGATACTCTAAGCACAGGGCATCTTTTTTATGAAGGAGGTGAAACAATACAGCAGTACAGTTTATTAGCAAAGGGTTAAGATCTGCTTCACTTTGCAAAACTATCAGGTATTTATGTATTCTTCTTTGGCCCTGGAAAATGCACTTCTTTCCATGTACATTCTCCTAAGCCATAAAATCATGATATATGGCCTCTTAATTTAAAGCTATAATTTTCTTCTATTAGGTGTTTTCCTGTGAGCTACAGGTGAATCCAGCTCTCTGCTCTGATTAGTACTGAACACGTACTGTGTTAACCAAAGAGAAGCCCACTTTCCAGCCAACAGTTTAAATAAATGAGTATGATTAGTGGTCAGCAGGCTGGACAGGCAATCTTGCTAACAGAGATACGTCACCCTTATTTTATCTAGAAGTATCATCTTCAGCAGCAAGCACAGCTGGAAACCTGAGTGCCACCACATTCTCCTCAGCACGTGTTGCTTCTTTGAGCTTTAGGTTGATGTTTGTGCTTTCCTCTTGCGTAGAGAATGTAAGTGCTTCAGATACAATCTGATGAGGGGATCAGGAAGGTAGTGAGGGGCACTAACAATCTTAATAGAGCTGATAGGTGGATTTCAAATTATGAGGGCCTATGTGTCTGTGCCAAGTTCATGTAAGTGAAGAAAAAACTCAAATGTATTACCAGATTTTTAGAAACAATCCTACAATTTAAAAAAAAAAAAGTGAAAACAGTTAGAACATCTGACTCTATGTAGATGTGCTAGCTTTTATTTGTTTTAAAAAATGGTAGCATGTCTCCTTTGAATATACACTGTTATCATTTACTGCTATTTTTGCAGTATACTCCAACTGAAAAATTAGATGTAGTACCACATATTGGTATACTGATATGTCAGCTACCTTGAGTTTAATAGAAAATGTAAAGAGTGTCTGAAACATTTTAAAAACCTAATAGTTCACCCCTTGGGAAACTTCAGTAGCATTATCTACAAAATGGATTTGATTGATGTATCAAATTTCTTTAGGACTAGAATCAGCCTGACGCTTCCTGCCTCTGGCAGATTATGCAATACCTGGGGTACAAGCCATCTTGAATATCTTCGTTTGATATGGCCTAAATGGTGCCTTGGAACATCTGTTCCAGGAGCCCTTCCAACGGAGATTTCTGTCTATAATAGAAAAGCTCCGTGAAATAGTCTTTGGGACCCAACAACCTGCAACAACGAGCTTTTCTCAGAAGAAAGTATGTCAGCTTGTCTTGCAACTCAAATGCACTCTTCAGATTTCACTCCAAAGGTTCTCAGCAGTTGCCACTACAGACAAGGGGCACTCCAAAAGCAGCCTTTCCTCTTACTCCTTCCCATTTGTATTGCCATTTATAGGTTAGGTTATCATAACACGGGTCATCTATCTATGCTTTCTTTCTGGGATATAAGGGAAAATCTTTCCTTTAGGGGTGGTGCTAAACATGAGGACTTTTCAAGCCTATTCATAGACAAACAGATATATATTTGCTCTCCAGAGAGATTCAGTACATTTAATGGAAATTTAAAGTTGATGTATTTGCCATTGCTGGAAAATGTTAAGCATTAAATTTGGTTCAGTAAACTGTACAAAAATAGGAGCCTAGAATTTGTGACTTGCCTAAATTTTGGTTGCTTTTATTTATTTTTTTATTTTTTTATTTTTTTTTAAATTGGTATTTTGAGATTTGTAAGAGTGTTTCTTCAGGATATATCTGTAGTTTCGAAGGTCTGTAGTTTATCGGTGACGAGGCTAGAAAGATGTGGTTTTCAAAAAAGGCCGAGATGTGAAACCACCTTAAATGTCCAAGTATTTTCAGTAATAACCTATATTACCTATATATTATCTATATCCTCTGATGATCTCCTTCAAAATTTTCTATCTTTTAACAAAAAGTATTAGCAATGAGATATCAGTGAGGTACCTGAGCTTCCGAGCATTTACCCTTTTCTAAAAGAAAACTGGATTTGGTCTAAGAAATGGTAAAATACTTTGCCTTCCCCCTCTCTCCCATTCCCGCCCACTGGTTGCCACCTCTGTAGTCCTATGCTTTTGGATGGAATTCTTCTGTCACCAATATTTATGATTTTAACTGTTTTTTCCCCCTAGACTACGGTTACTTATGAAATTTTTCTAAACTGCTATAATCTACAGCACTACTGACAGAAATTTTTATGAGAACTGTACAGACATCCTGGTGTCTAGTGGATAATTCTGCTTTTTTTTTTTTTATGAGATAGGAACACAAAGACACATTCAGACTTCCTGCTACGGTGACTTAAAAGGTGGATGGTGGTTTATTACAATACCTACAGTGTAGTGAGCAGCAAGATAACTAAATTCAGAGCTAACAGACCTCATTTTCACATAGGTAAAGACAAGTGCCATACTCAGATCACCTAGTTTTAGGGCCTCTAATTTTGATTGCACACTGTTTCCCTGGAAAATCAATAGTCCAAAGTCCACCCAGAGCTGCTTCTGTTATGAGCGAAAGAAAGTGAAACGTCAAGATCCCTATCGAAATTGACAGCAAATAAACTATCTCTAAAAAGCTGATTTATTGATTACCTTCTAGACCTCACCAAGAACAAACTGTTATTACTCTCCACTCCTCGGCATAAACATAAGGAACTCCACACTACTGTCCTCATTAATTGCTAGTAACTCTTTCCTGTAAACCAGCTGTGCTTTAACTGGGATTTTTTGCATAGTGATTGCTCCGTTGATTCTCAAAAGGTCATGAAATATTTTTGTTATAAAATTATGTTACCACTTTTTTGATTTAATGAGTATTTTTTTCTTAATGACTAATATTTGACTCATATATATATTTATTAATGTACGTATATATTACTACTGGAATAGCATGGGATCCTAAGTAAAACTTATGTAAGTTTTAATTTCATTTAATATACAGAGCAGCTAATACAGGTACCACTGTAAAATTTTTGAAGTTCTTAACCACAGCCTACTATATATGGAAGGAAAGCAGTCAAAAAGCAATGTCAGCCTCTGCCAATTGATTAGGACCACTAACTGCATGTGTAACTGTTGGAATAAGTAAACCACTGTGTTTTATTATGATAGCAAAAGTAAATGGGAGTACCAAGCCTGCTGGCTTCCCAGAAGCAATTTTCTTGAGCTCTTGAGTTTTGCTTAGGTTTTTTTTTTCTTTTATCATTTTTGATAGTGTAGATTCAAAGGTTTTCACGTCAGCGGAAATCACAGCAGCAGTTGCACCATAACCTAATCACCAACAAAGTCACCATTATCTCTTTAAAGAAATTGCTAGACATTCTGCGCTTGTCCATCAAGACAGCAGTTGCACATCAGCCTGATCTAACACAGCTTCTCGTCTAGGTTCTGAAACAACAGAGTTCTCTGCAAAAGGAAACAGATTCCCTGTTGCATCAAACTCAGGGAACTTTTAGGATTGGCCATTTATGCTCTAATAATTTTGTTGGCAAATTTAAGCAATTGAGGAAATGCTACAGATTCAGATATCTGAGAAAATGCTTATAGCCACCCAGCTGGCAACCATCTTGCCCAAATGGAAAGAATACTTCCAAAGTCTTTCTATAAGATTTAAGATCTGACCTTACAGAATGCTCAAACAAAAGTCATACAACTTTCATACCTGGTTCCTAAGAGGAATCCAACTGAGGAGTGCTGAAAGCTTTTCTTATATTTTTATTGGTTAGAAAGGTGAATCTACCCAACCAAAAACGTGTTCCCTGGAAATGGGAACAAAATACTTTTTAGATAGCTCATTAATTTTTGCATGATTCTTTCATTTCACCCCAGTGCATTATGATGTCTGTCATCAGCATATGGACTCTTGAGTAAATGGACACTGATTACATAGTTTGAAAATACTGGTTATACAGAGTCTAGTAACCCAAAAAAAAGAGAAAGGTGAATAGGTTAAACCCATTGCTACTACATTAGTTTGGTTACTACTAGTCACCTGCAATCTAAATGGCATTCATACCATGGCATGATAATCAAAAGATATGAATTTTTGAAGGACTTTATCTCTGTAAACCTCTCACTCTCTGTATTTTTAACAGAATCAACTAAAGCACACAGCATTTAAGTCTCAAAGAACCAAAGTATAATAGTTCATTTTAAATAGTTTCTTAGGGTAGGGGGAAGTATGGGGTAAAATTTTGAAAGGCAAGAGGCCCATTTTTGCCTACAAAAAGTATGTGCAAACTTGTGACAGCATCTATGTGGGCAACCATTGACGTTATACAAGCAGATCCAGCAAATACACTTGCAAATGATCAGTACAGGCACCCAGCTGTAGCTGATGCTTTGCTTGTACCTTCGTGAATATTCTCCTGGTAACTGCATGCATTAAGCCACTACTAGGATTACATTTTATGCAAGTATTTTTAGCACAAACACACCTCCACCCTCCTTGTCTGAAATGTGAGTGCTAGTGTATTAAAAAATATTTGGAAGACAGACTTATTAAAATAAATGTTAAGAGAACACAGTGGGGTATATTTTCAGTGTGGAGCAGAGAGATTTAGCTGCATGACTTCCATTAGCTTTAATGAGAACCACACAGCTAAATCCTCACACACCACACTAGAAGATTAACCCAGAAAACACACATTGTTTACTTTTTACTAATACTCTGATTATTACCACGTTCTTCCTCCTCCTCCTCCTCTTCTTCCTCCTCCTCTTCTTCCTCCTCCTCTTCTTCCTCCACATCTTCACCTTCCTCTTCATCCTCCTCTTCTTCCTCTTCAATCTCCTCTTCTTCTTCTCGATCTATCTCCTCATCCTCCTCCTCCTCGTCACCTTGCTCCTCATTATCATCAGAATATTCCTCCTCTTCTTCATCCTCTTCTTCTTCTTCCTCTTCCTTTTCATCCATCTCCTCTGTTCCATCAGTTTCATAGCACTCATCTACTGAAGAGTTGTCTGCTTTAACCACAAAGGGTTTTCTTTTGGGGGCTGGTTCTTGGGGTTGCTTATCTTGTGTTTTTCTTTTTTTTGCCAAAGGACAGCCATAAACACTGTGCAGAAATAAAATATGGAAATTATTACAGTATCCTGCAGATTTCTGTAGGTCAGATCGTATAATTCATGTCATTCACTCATATATTCTAATTCTACACCATTAGTTGCTCTTCTCAAAATGCATGTTTTCAAACTAAAATGCTTCTTAGGCACTAATGACTGAGAGGAAAGACACTTACAAAACCTGTGAAATTACAAACAAATGAAAAATTATTTGCCTGAAAGTGTCACATGCACATGCCAGCATAACAGTTTCAAAACTGATACAAATATTTGTTTTTCCTTCTCATTCTTGTCTTTCTTCTGCATGTTACACTCTTTTCTGAGGCAGATAAACATAGTTAAAAAACCAGCAATCTTATCCTACCTGTTATTTACCAGCACAACACTCAGGAATAAAGCAATACTTTATAAATTTCTAATATTTAGTAAGGATTTGGTTGTGTACAAATAAATAATAAAAATATGACTACACTCTTGACACTGTTGTTTGTTTTTATTACTATAAGTGATTAACTGTTCTTAAATTCTGCACTGCTGTACTCCACTATATGCTACAAGGCTCAATAAAAGGGAAAGCAAACTCCCCAACAGAACCAAACCCAAGAGTTTTCATGGCCAGTGTTGGAAATCTTCTCACATTGACAAAAAAATCAAGCAATAAACAAAATTCTTTGACAGTGAAGGAAGTCAGACTTCTTAAAGTTGAATAACACTTCCTCATTGATCATTTTAATCCACTGTAACATAAATAACATTTCAGAGTTCTGATTTTCTACCAGAGGAGCCACTTTTTCTGAAAGGTCACATACCCTATGTTTGTTGAGTGTGATCACCCTTGTGTAACCTCTTTAATCTCCTACATAGTGTGACTGCATATACAAATTACTTTTTGGTTAAATAACTTCCCCTTTGTACTTTTTTATTGTGTGATTATAAACGCTACTCAAGCTACATTGGTTTTTAGCCTTCTCATGTTTGGCTAGTTTGGGGACATTTAAACTTTTCTTTCTAGCAGTTTCTGCCCATCTACTTTAAAAAAATCTTTTTTACGTTACATTTTTATTCCTTTTATCCCAATTATAAAACACTGAGGATCTTTATAATTTTCTCCTGCACTAATAATGCTTCATATTTTATTGACAGACCACTGAAAAAAGAGTTTCACCACATTTAGTACTAGAGATGTGCTCTTTGTGGTGTCTGCATCATCTTGATCTTGGTCTGATTTAATTGCATCTCAGCACTATGCATCCCAATTACTTAAACCACTACTTAGGTAGCAAGAATTTTATTTAAGTCCCTACATGTTTCAGTTAAGTGCCTAACTCAGCCATTGTCTGACCTAAATTTTAAAGCACTTGTTCACGGGAAGGCTGTTTGCCAGGCAAGCACATATCTAAGGAGCATACACAGTTACAAGAGATGGTATTCATCATGGAAAACCTGATAAGTGTTTCTTCTCTGCGTAACACAAGCACCTCTCTGTGCAGGGCCTATAGGTGATTTTAAGTCAAGGCATAAAGTCATAGGATGGTCTGGATTGGAAGGGAGCTTAAAGATTATCAAGTTCCATCTCCCTGCCATGGGCAGGGACACCTCCCGCTAGACCAGGTTGCTCAAAGCCCCATCCAGCCTGGCCTTGAACACTGCCAAGGAGGGGGCTTCCACAAGTGCTCTGGGAAATCTTTTTGACGCAGTGTGCCTAAATTAAACATGTCCTTTCATTCACATTATTAAGAAATACTGAGTAAATTTTAAGTACCTCCATCTAGCCAGATTCCAATCCTCCTCATCTGGGAGTGAGTATGGGGTAGCAGCCCTAACGGGATGTTTTCCCGACACACCAAAGTCAAGGCCTAAGAGCGCAGGCCAGAGGAGGAAAATACCCACATTCTGCAGACCCCAGGACCACACTCCATCAAGCAGGCTGCATGGCACATCCAAGAGAAGAACACCTTCTTCTACAGGATAAGGCCCTTATATGCTGAGCACCATGGGAAGAACTACCATTTCAGTCACCTGAACCATCCTCTCCTCCCCAGAGGGACAGCTGTCCCTACCACAATTTCCATGCATGCCGGGCAGCCACAAAGAACTTTTATCCTGATGCTCATAAACTAGGACGGTGGGGATGGACTAGATGACTTTTAAAGGTCATTTTCATCCTGAAATATTCTATGATTTATAAATATGGTGGAAATCCTTGTCTCAAGGTCACTGCCACTGCTCACTGCCAAATGACTGTCCTGCCTCTTGTCCTGTGAGCCCTCTTGATAAGGACCCAGCTGTTCAGAATCAAGAAAAAGGGGCAACGTATTTTCATGGAGAATAACCCACAACATCTCAGTCAGAGCAGAAACAGGAGTTCAGTCGCCATCAGTCTAGACAGTGCCCTAGAACTTGGGACAAAAGGGAGGTTGTAGTTCTCAGCACACCAGGTTTATTTTTGGCACTTCCTCCGGTGCTATGCTACTTCGGGAACCCTCTATTTAAACTCTCCATATGGAGCTCTGAGAGGAGGCAGATGAATTTTTCCTTAGAACTGTAATTTTAGACTGTGTGTAGTGCCCAGGGAAATGGCTGGATAATTAAGGAGGAATCTGTTTCATTTAAGTGCCTAGCAGAGGTTGCATCCTGGAAAGCAGGAGTGGGTCACAGCCTGGGGCTCAGTCAGATTTTAGAAACCTGCATAGCAGTTCAATGGGATTAAAGTGGCCAGTATAAAGTTTATTGAGTGGATGTGTATTGCTTTCTTAGTTTCTGTTCCATCTCTTTATAATGCATATTACCTTCACTATAGGTTCTTCATTGCCATTATCATTAAAGGATATTTTCACAAATGCCTGATCTTTTATTTTCAAAGATGTGAGCAGGCTTAGCCCCAGCAATCCGCAGGATTTCATTTCTTCCCACTATTATAACTTTTTTAGCACACTGTAAGAGGTAAAGATGACACTTCAGGCAGCTCTGAGGTAAGACCATCAAGGCTAAAGGGCACCAGCAGATGCGTAACTGAAAATTTTTGGCCACTGGAGATAACGCAAGCTTGAATTTTGTCACATTAAAGCTGGAACATTAACCCCACCCTTCCCTAATCTTTCTTCAGTTAAGAACACTAAATACTTGCAAAAGTTTCTGTCTAGGAATCTCAAAAGCAGTACCCTTTGGAATTCACAGTAGTTTAGGAACTGGAGAAGAAGACAGGAGGATCTTTGCTTGAAGTGCTGTTCAATTTTTGTATTTGGCATCTAAGTATAACTGCATGAGTTTTTAGATACAAATTACTGGTCAAAGGTAGAAACAAACTGTCATTGCCATTTCTAGGCATCTTTAATCTTTTTTGCATGGCTTTTTGCTTTTCCACACAACATTTTAGAAATGTTGTGAAAATTTTACACATTATTTCAGATTTAGGCACCCCTTGAATGTGCATAACTGGCAATGGAAATCAATGTCCGGCATCTGATTGGCTTGGAATCTTTTATAAATGTCATTAAATAACTATTTGCAACTTGAATTTTCAAATAAAGTTGTGAATTTGACTTTAGTTTCTCACTTTAATTATCTGTTCTCAGTGTCTTTGCTTATAAAATTAAAATTGAGGACAGACAGATCAGCAAATAACAAAACCAAACATTTGTATATTTTAAGGGTTGAGTCCAGCACTAAGGACTTTGGAATAGCTCACTTTTCCAAGGAAATCAGTGTTGTTACTTAACTCTGACTCAGCTGTTATAAATGCTTTCCTGATTAATTTGCACAAGTTTCTCAACAAACTGGAATTCGTTTTTTCTTGTGCTGGGACTTATACTTTATAAAGTTACCATTGCAGGTTTTTTCTTTCTTCCTATAAAACCTTTAAAATACTGCCTTGCTCTAGCTTCTTTCTGCTCTTCAGCTATATACCTCACATAGCTTATATATACCTCATGTACTACAGATTTCATAGTGCATGAGAGTCAAAAAAACCCCAAGCACATATTTCAGAAACCTGGAAAACAGGCTACCAGACCAGGAGCCTCCTGTTCAGCTGCCCTATATTCTTGTTTTTTTTTTTTATTTCCTTAACCTGTTTCACTCTCATCCTTTGTTTCATTAATTTTTCAGATTCCGCCTCTAGGAGACTTCTCCCTGTTTCTGGCACATTCCCCACAGTCTCTCCGGCAAGCACGCCAAGGGGAAGGCAGTGCCGGCTTTCTAGCAGCCTCTGTCATGATCTTCCCTTTCCAACCACGTATGGAGATGACAGTCTCTCCCATTGACCTCTCATTCCTCACATATTTATGGAATTTGTTATGGTTTGTCCTTATAGCTCCTGCTATTTTCTCTCCATTTCCAATTTGGGCTTTTGTAATCATCCCCTTATTCGCTTATTTTTTAGACTTGTTTATTCTTGCTCAGAGCAATGACCCCATTGATTTATCTGTCTTGCATGCCTTTATCCTTCTTTATTGCTCGCTGTACTTCCCTGGTCAGCTGTATTTCTCTTACTTTCCCCTCACGCCTCAGCTCTCTTGGCTTTCAATGGAATATATATTTGGGCTTCCTGAAACACACTTTTGAATATTCCACACTGCTTGGCTGTGTGTCTCAGTCATCTCTGGTTTTCAGCTTCTGTCATGAATAATTCTTGTGGAAAGAATGTTGTTGAATTTCATAGTGATAAGCTCTGAGAGGACATATACCCATTAATAATTGAAGAAATTGAAGAAATAATATATGAACTTATACTCCTTAGTTAGCAGATGATTTATGGTATTTTTTAACTGTCACGCAATTTTTCTCCATTAAAAAACACACCATGCTACTCACTGATATATTTGATAGGACCTTTCTTCAGGAAATACATATTTCTTTCCCATAGCTGAACTTCTTGATTTTTAATATATTTTATTACTGATTTAGTATCATTTTCAGTATAATTAGTAAGGTTATTATTTCTAAACTATAACAATTAAACATATCTCTTTTAACATATATAGTGTAGGACTGG